CATCGGTTTATTTCATAAGATTGTTTTACTATCTAACTAAATTCGTGAATGAAATTCTTTTTCTCTTCAAAAACGTTGAAAACTATTGAAAAAGGTTCTATATAATGTTATCAGCTAGTTGAGTATAGAATATCTTATTGTGTTTCAAAATGCGGCAAAACTCAATTTTTCACTTGAATATAGACAGCGGAACTGACGGCTGAGAAAATTACTCATTTAGCTGGTAGTTATTTTCGAAAGTAAAAAACCAGTATATACTGGACCAGTAGACCAGTATAATACTGGTACTGGTGCATCCCTACAAACGATGCAACAATTTTGCGGTTTACTCAATAATGATAATACTGAATGTCGTCTTCCGTTGCAAACTGCTAACAGTAATCTAATAGAATTGTTTTGATTTATACGCTACTGTTGACTTTCATTCTCTTAATTCAGCATTCCATGATTGTTGATATAGTATCTTTAATGGTGAGATCAATTAGACATAATAAAACGATAATTCTTACTCAAATGAACGTTGAATACACAATAAACTATACAAAGAGTTTAATAATTCGCCGTCATCGACAAATTCTTAAGATGATCGGAATACGCGAAAGAAATGGACTGCAACCTACTTCCCGTTGAAATATAAAAATAAATCAATTATATGCTATCAGATGATTGAAGAACATCCATAGTGAACATGTCAGTCCAGTAGTATTATGTCTAGTAATATATTCATCGGAAATTTAATAGGTTACATGTAAGAAAAAAGAAAAACAACTTTTTTTTATACACACTTTACAGTTAACTATTGTTATCAATGAACAAAAACTAATCGTTGTGAATGGAAAAATAGTTTATTAACGTATTTTACGCAAAGACTCCAATATAATTTTTCTTTATTGGAACTATACAGATTTAGATGAAATTCATCGCTCCAAAATAGAGGGATTCAAATAGAAAATAATGTGTAAAATCGAAAAGAAATTATATCGATTTAAACGTTAGGAGCGTCAACGAAAACAAGCGATGCGTTGGGGTTACCATGATGTGCTTTATATGTGTCGAATAGACGCATTAATGCATTCATGTATTTCATGTGATATTTATCAATGATTTCAGATGTTATTTGTTCTGGAACTAATCTTGGTACTTCAATCGGTTCACCGACATATGTATCAATTGGATGTCGATTAGGTAGAAGCCCAAATCTATACTGAAATATACCACGTCCATAAAATAATGGCAATGCATAGCCCATCTTTTTTTGTAGCATCACTTGCAGTGATCGCAGTTTTGACCCACGTGGGTTAGCTATTTGTTTAAACAGATCATTTTCACCGAACGAAAATACAGGAACCAAACTTGCACCGTTGACTAAAGCAATTTTAACGAAACCTTTTCGATTTTTAAGCGTCAATAGACATTCAGATGATGGACGTGCATCTAATGATTCTTTTGAGCCACCAATAGCTAGCATAATACTGTTGCCTTTGCCTTGTTGTAAAATATAATTGCAGGATTCTTTCGATGCATCACATATACCCATCATTGTTAAAAATAGTTCATAAAATGGTATTTGAAAATTTGAATTGAGCACAAGAAAACGAAGATTAATACCGGGAAACAAATTTTCAAAACCAGTTGCCTCAGTCGCAAAATTACCAAATCCTCCTAGAGAAATAATTCCATGCGGATGATAGCCGAATACATAAGAACGATCAGATGGTAAATCGCATGTTTTATGTAAACGTATTGGAAAATAACCTAAAAATACAATCAAAGTGAAACTTAAAGTAAATGAAGAGATTAAATTCTCTCACCGGCAAACCATTTCCACCAGAAGAGTCGTCGTAACCACTGCTGTCTATGACCACCTTCCTTAGGATACGTCCGAAACATGACCATCCATGTTAGATAGACAAGAAAGACACCAGTTACGTACCAAGAGACGAAAACGAAAAAATGTATTGTTAAATATAAGCAAAACCATGGCATTAAAAACCAAACAAGAACAGATAATGTTTGGCAGCGACGATACAAAGGTGTGTTGAGTGGAGCAAATATACGATGAGAAGAGGATGAACATGGAGATGCACTCGATGTATCAAGTAGATGTTTTTTGTCATGCATTGTCAAGCTTTCAGATTTACTGATTGTAAAAACGATGATGGAGAGTTGTAATCGTTCTATCACTAGTTTGCATTGTAATCAGAAGAAATGACTTCAAAACAGTAGTCTACACATTTATCTGAAACAAAGATCAGTAAAATTTTAGGGTGCGGGTGCCGATATGAAGGATACACGTTCGTATCAACGAAAAATTGACCTACATCCTCAATATAGGGTTTGCTTCTTTGTTCGATAAAACTATTTATTAAATTTTTTCATCGCGTACCAGAAACTTATAGATTTGCTACGCCATTCTGAATAGTACCAGCTCTAAATTCAATTTTTACGGAATATAACTCAATTAGTCAAAGTGATTCTTACGTTCACTTTTCGAAAAATTAGATTCGAATTTTTTTGTTATACTACTCGAATATTAGTAAACACGGTTTTAGTAGTTTATTGTTGAAACAATTGTATGTAGTATTCTTTTAATAATGAAGTTGTTGCATCGACATGTATGAGGTTCATACTTTTTTTCTTTAGTAGTTCGATATTTCAGTTATTCACTTATATCCAAATCTCTCAAAATTAGTTTATTTCTAGGAAGAACGATGTTACACATTGAAATCCTATATATAGAATTAGAATTTTTCACAACCGTTCCCATTGAAAATGATCAAACATTCTTATGAAGTCATTCTCCATTTTTACAACTACGTATCTAATATAAATCTTGATTTAGTTTTTCATCTTGAAGAGTATTGGGATTTTAAAGATCAACATTCGAAATCAGAGTGAATAAACTCTGATGTAACCTGAAATTAATATAAATAATCTTGAGTAATAAATTTAGAAATCGATTCCACTATGTAAGCTGACTTATTTAAATAAAATTTAGCTTAATAGTTAGCTGTACGTACTAATGATACGACTACATCCTTAATTTATCTGTTTGGAGAATCATATTTTTTCTTTCTATTCTCACGCTGCATATTAAATATATCGATGAGCTTTAAAACAATAATACCAACATTTCTTCTATTTGTCCTACCTGGCTCTACTGTTTGCTTTGTCAGCATCAAGCTATACATCTTTTCAATGAGATCACTTTATGTGCATCGAATGAAAACCTAATATACTCCATATTTTAAAATACATCATGCCGAATGAAGAATAAATAATACGGTTGCCATTGCCATGATTAAATCAACAGCTTTTTTTATATTTTCTTTGCTTTGGTTACATTTTAACAGTAGCTCTCTCGCGTGTTGGCACAATCGAAGGTGAATACGCATTACTATTGAGTATTTTATTCGAACGAAAGAAATCAATGAAAACAGAGATGCCACTAGTCAACACAACAACTTTAGTACTAGAATTGTTTTATTACTCTTATTGGAGAGCAGTAATTGTACGAGATGATCTAGACTAGGACAAAACCATGCTCACTATTCACTGATGGTGATTGATATTTTGTGTATACATCGCTATCTATTGCTCAGTTAGTCATCCAATAGGATGATACGATATTTCAGCTGAATGGTTGTGCTCGACCACTATATCATACTAACGATACGAAAATGTAGCTAGTTTTTCGGTACTGATGCCGAATAGGAACACCCACACCTCTTGTTTTGCATACAGAACAAAAAAACCTAATCTATTGTTATAAAACACATCACATTGTCGCTAATAACTTATGAATTTTATGATTTAATAGTTTGGTCTGACCAAAAGCAAGTTTAGTCATTGAGGAAAAAGTGCCGATTCGAGACAAAATATACTTTCTGATAATTAACTCAATGATGGGATGAAAAATATTCGCTAAATTCATTTTCCTATTTTTTTTCAATTACATTTTGTTCAATTGTTGAATTGAAACTTTTAGATGGGTGTGAAACGTAAAATAGAAGAAAATATTACTGAACCGGAAAAAAAGAATAAATCAGATCAAATATTTCCGATTGAAACATTTGTTAAAAATCTGAAGGATCCGGAAACATCGTTTTTAGGTAAATATAAATTTAAAGAAATGAAATTTAAATAACATCATTTTTTTTCGTTTCGATTAGCCTTAAGTGAATTTAACGAACATGTTCGTCAGGTATCATCTCAAGAATTAATTGATGAATTGATGGAAAATCTTCTTCAATATTTAAATTCAAATATAAATGATATTCTTACACTTATTACGGAAGAAAAGCGCAAATCAAGTGAAGTAAGAGAATCTCAAAAATTGTTTAGATGTGAATAGAATTTCCAAACGTCATGGAATGCGTAGTTTTATATAAACAGACGATATGTTTTTCTTGAGATTTCATTATTAGCCAGTCGATAATAAGTTTCGGGATAAATAAATTCTTTCGTAAAATTAAAATTTTCAAATGATTTAATTAATTTAATCTTATTTTCGTTTCGTTTCACTTAATCAAATTTATTTATCGGTTTATTACTTATTAATAATCTTCTTCTTTTTTTAAATTTAATTTGATATATATTAGAATATAACACTTTATCGATTTCTTACAACATTCATGGAATATTTTTCAAGAAAAAATGAATTAATATTATCAGAAACTGTGATAAAAAAATTTGTTTCAATATCAAGTTCAATTCATACAATTTATTTCATGTTATCTAGTCATAGTACAGCAAGTATGTTTTGTTGTTTTCTTCTTGCTTTCTTGTATTTATTCAAATATCAAATTAGGCCATTTAAAAACTACATTACGATTTTTATTATCTATGATTCAATTGAATGAATTTAATGCTCGATTGATTTTTTCATTGATTGATTTTAAAAGACCATGTTGGAAACCATTACTTAAACGACGTGATATTCGAGTATGCTATTAAAAAAAAACAAATTTAATATTTCCAATTTTCCTTTTTGATTACGTTTAGGATACTGAAGATGTTCGTTATTGGACAATAAAATTCTTTTTATCTCCATTAGTTTATCAAAATCTTGATACAATAAGAACTCTAATCAAAGAACAAGGTATTGATATTTTTGTACACGTTTTTTGTTCTGTTTAATGTTTCTCGATAGATATACATCATGAGATTTTTAATGGACTTGTGAATGATTCTCGTACAACAATCGAATATATACTTGATGAAATGCGTGCAAATGTAAGAATGAAATTTGTAGAAAAGAAAATATTTTAAGCAAATAAAATCTAGATTATTATGGTTCCGGGAGTAACAAAAACTGATAAACTTCATTTATTTGATGATCGAAATTTAAGATCACTTGTTCGATTATATAATTGGAATGGCCAACAAAAGCAAAAGGATATAATTAAAACGAAGAAGAACAATAAATTAGAAGAATCATTAGATTTTGAAGATGTAATATTATTCATATTTCTTTTCTTTTGATTTTCATTATAAAATTAACTTAATTTAGATGGAAGTCGAAGAAAATGGTGAACGAGATGAAGTCCGTCGAATCGTTCATACATTTCTAATGATTATATTAAATTCAAGAAATTATGGAATTAACTTTTTCGATTCAAATTTCGGAACTTCGTCAAAGTAAGATTTGTTGTAAAACGTTGTAACTGAGTAGAAAACGAGGAGTGAGGAGTGAAACTAAACTTTTTTTCTTTTGAACAGAAACGAAAGTAAAATAAATGATTCTGCTCATTTTTGTTAGAGACAATTGTATCGAGCCTATTAAAACAAGGAATCTTAAGAAAAGCAAAGTTGGATTCACTCTGCTGAGATAAGATGTTGGTTATGATCAAGCTAAATGTTTGTCTCTGTATGATATTTTTGTTCTTGTTTTTAAGAAATGCAAATCCAATAATTTTTAAAGTTATCACGAATCTTTCAAGTCATTTTCTCACCGATGAATATGCTGCCAATTTAATTGTTACTTGCTTAACAACATGTCCTGATATTCTTCAATCGTAAGTAAAATTTTATTTATTCCATGTAAAAAGAAGAGAAATTTTCTTTCTTGTAGACTTTTTAAACTAATATCACATGAATACATAAGTATCCGTTCAAAAACTCTATCAGGAACATTAGAATTTCTTTGTGAAGTGATTCAACAACAAAAATCACTTTATTCTTGGCAAGAAATATTTCAAACAGTAACTGATTCAATAAAATTAACTGATATATTAATTCATTTAACATTACCTATCGATATAATGAATAAATTTGATCAAGTCATTTTAAAAAATTCTGATACAACAATTCAAGTGGTTGCAATGAAATTTCTTTCGATGATATTAGAAAGAGTTAAAGAAGCTTTCAATATGATTATGAACCTTTCATTAGCTTGTGACAAAACCAGTGCCATTGAAGCATATCAACAAGCCATTTTAAGAGTAAGCTTTGTATATTCTACTTCTTTTCAATTAATATCTTAGATTTAAGTTCTGTGTTGATATCAATAAAACTCTGTGATGGAAACATACGGCTAGTAAGGATTCTATTTATGAATGAAAAACTAAAAGGGACGAGTCAAATCATCATTGAACTGAATGCGTGTGATTCAGCTAGGAAGAAAAAAATTTCCCTTTCATCAGAAATTTGATAATAAACATTTGCTATGTTTTTCTTTCTAGTATATTCCAAAACCTGATCATTTCTGTGATTCATTAAATGTTCTAAAAACAGTTAAAACAACATCTGAGTTCAATCAATCCATAAGTCAATATATAAATTTATTGAAACTATATTCTTCATCATGTTTTATGTCAATGTCAGCAATGAATATAAATCTTGATATACTTCTATCAAATTCCGTATTGAATTTACTATCGTTCTTTAAAGATACTGCATTAGAAAATGATACTATTGAAAATTATTTTCAATGTATTAAAAATATTCTTAATTATCGAGAATCAATCGATGATGTTACTTGGGCAAGACATGTATGTTAACAAATTTGAAATAAAACAGTTTTGTTCTAAATTTAGAATTTTCTTTTATAGAATAAAGAACTAGAATGTACACCTTTACGAATGTTATTTAAATTAGGAAAACAATTGAAAAATTTCAATAACATCTCTGAAGATCTTTCATTGGTAAGAATTTTAATATTATTTTACAATGAAAATATTTGAAAAAATTCTTTTTAAGATTATTAGTAAATTTTCTTCGATGATAAATAATTATGATCAAGAAATAATTATCTGGATTTATACATGGTTAAAATTAGGAGCTAGCGAAAAATTGGAACAATTTTTATCGAATTCGATTGAAAAAATTATTTTAAATCCATATCCTCTTGTTGAAAAAACAATCAAAGATAGCGGGTATTATTTGTTTTGCTAAGAAAATCTTTTTCATGTTCTTTTATTCAAGATATAGTTTACTGATTTATTCGGCTCTTGATACAATTCAGCATGCTAAAGAAGGTTAAATAAATGATCGAGTATTTATCTTAATAAAAACAAATCTGAAATTTTCTAGATATTGCAAATGAAATTGATGAATATCTATGTGATGTTGTCTTTCAAATTTATATTGAACATATAAATCTACCATCGGATAAAATCCATCATCATCTACAAAAAATTTATTTAAAGAATAAAAATGATATGAAGATTTCTCAATTGCTTAATATTATTTCATCACCAGACAAACAAAATCAAGTATGTCAATAATATGGAGCTTGTCTTAGAATTCGTATTACCATCAAATCTTATGTGTTCGAATTGAAAGTTCCTGCCTGCTAAATTATTGCTTTTAAATTAAGAGGATTGTAATGTCGAAAATAGAAGTGTTATGAATAAGGAAAGCACGATGTTGTTTGAACAAAGCGAAAGTCTACGAGTCTTCTATGCTAACCAAAGTATCTTCTAATGTAATTTAATATTAATAATCTAGGTGTAATTCATTTTGAAATATTTACTGATACCAAGCAAAGAAACATGTGAAACTAATTAAAATACGATACATTTCTAGCAAATAAACATCCATTTATTTTAATTGATTATCTGTTTCTTTATTCTAGGTTTTAATGTATGAAATAAATCGTATTGAAAAATCCATTCTGGCAAATATTGATCTAGAAAAAGGTCCTGACAATCTACAAATCAATTTAGCAATGAAATTAAATCTGTACAAAATATTTGCATTACATGTAAAGAAAAGAAAATTTCTTTTTTAAGATTAACTAGACATTTATACCCGCTAAGTATCGAAAAATTGAGACTTTTACTAAAAAACGATTTTAGAAAGTAAATGAATGATGATGTAGTCTGCCTCAAAATATATAAAATAAAAAAATTCTTCATTGGTCAGTAAGAATAGTTAAATTGTTTTCACATTAAAATTTCGAGAGAATTTCACTAGTAATTTGTCTTACAACTTTAATAAATTTTAGGACACTGATAATTCACGATTAATTAGAGAAATGGTTCAATGTTTAAATATTGTTCTTCTTCTAAATGACTCTCGTCGGTCATTCGAAGTTCTATTCGATAAAACCATTGAACGTATGCAAGCTTATTCATCATCGATAGAAAATACTCAAATAATTTCATTAATTTGTCAACTTATTAACGGACTTGATATGCCTCATCAAACATTAAAACCACTTGAAAATTCGAAAATTCTATTGAAATGCCTTGAAAATGAACCAAATAATTATCGTATTATTTATTTTACTTCAAATTATCTGTCATTTGCATATCGAATCGAATTTCTCAATATCATTTGTCAAACATTTACCGATAATGTTGATGTTTTAAAAATTATTATTAATGAAATTAAAACGAATAAAGAAGTTAACGATGAACGATTTTTAGATACCATCATTGATGCTTTAAAAGAATTTCAGGATAATATTGAAGAATCCATTGAATGTGCTATGGAATTAATTGATAGAATGAAGAAAATATCAAATAAAAATTGGAAAAATATTATAAGATTAAAACAAAAGATTCTTTTTAAATTAGCTAATAAAGACTATTCTCAAACACAAACTCGAATTCTTGTTGCAAAATTAATCGTTCAGTAAGAACATTTATTTCTTATTTAATAAAAGCCTTCGTTTCTTTTCTCTCTCTCTCTCTGTATAGAACAATAACTGCTCTTCGATCGAATGATCGCATAAATGCAATAATTCGTTTGATCAATAAATCAGATCGTTCACTTCTTCTTCTAGCTTATGTTTTTCGTGGTTTATTAAATCTTGATGAACCTATTGAAAATGAATCATTTTGTGATTATCTTGCTAAACTTATCGATAATTATTCATCGGAATCAGTTGTTTTTGATTTGCTTCAAGTTTATTGTCAAAAGAATGCCAATCAACATGAACAGGTTTTAGAACTGCTTCAAAGCAAAGATAATCAACACAGTCTACCTGTGAAACAAACGAATCAATTGTTACTTATTTTAAAATTATTTCCAGAATCAACAACAATAGTAGAAAAAATCTATAAAGATCTTGTCAAGAAAGCTCTGGTCTTTTTTGAATCATCCGATGAAAACAATAATGAGTAAGTTAAGAAGAAAATATTTAAAATACTAATAGCAAAAGCAGATGCGACATTCGCAAACGGAGGAATAATCATGAGGTTGTGGATGTGTTTCAAAATTATTTTGTCAAATTTCGAAAAAACAAATTTACATCGAAAAGTCAATTATCTTTTCTCCCCACGACATCCGTCGTTGACTATGACAATTATGAAACTGGTATAGAGAATTGCCAAGTACTATTTCTCAGACATTAGTCTTAGGTTTCTACCATTCATACATGCTAAAAAAGACTATTTTTGAATGTTTGAGGAACTAGATTTTCGAAAGCGCTCAGTTCGCTTATCCTTGATTTTCTATGTATCGATATTGAATGTAGTTTCTTAATTTTTTTAGAAATATGGATGGATGGTTAATCTCTTTTGAGCAATGTACCAATCATTTTGTAACTCATCCTGAAACACAAATTCAAATTGATTTATATGTTTTAATTAATCATATATTGAAACACTTTTCTACATTCACTACAAATTCAATAAATCTCTTGAAAACTCTCATACAACTTTTCGTATCTCAACAATCGTTTGATCAAAAACATTTGTCAAAATTATTTGCAAAATTTCTTAAACATAAAAGTTTTCTTGAACAACTTTCCTCATTGAATGGTTCGATTCTAGTCGATACAATTGCATTGTTTGTTTCACATTATGATTCAGTCCAATCAAAAATCACAATTGATTGTGCAAAACATTTTCCTATGTTATTATCAATTTACAATCCGACATTATCGAAAAATGATCAACATACATTAGCTTGTATGTATACATATGAAAAACATGGTTATTCAATGAAATCAGCTTTTGTTTGGGGTGAAGCTGCATTAAAACTATATAGTACGACAACAGATGCAAAAAGTGTTTTATTACAAACATCAAAATTAGATCAGGTCATGAGTCTATTGGATGATAAAATGATGATGAAATCAATTTTATCTTATCCAGTAACAAGAAGATTACGAGTTAGTGAAGATTCTTGTGCTTTTATTAAAATCAAATTATCTTCGTTTAGACGATTGAACCAAAAGTTTATCAAGACGGAGATCAAATTTATGATCCAGTTTATTTAATACCTGTTTTTTATCATTCACTAGGTCCAGGTAAATGATTTTGAAGTTTGATTTATTTTTTTGATTTATTAAAATCGTAAAGATTAAACATATAGATCTCAACCATTATTTATCACTATGTGGCAGCAGATCTTTCATGTAAAAAAAAACTACGGAATTTGTTATTCCAGTAAAATTTTAATCTTTCTCATGAAATCGATCTATGAATCCTTACCTAGTAATAGTTTTTAATTACTTATGAATTTAATTAATCACCATAGACAAGTCAATCTTTCAGGAGTAACTGTCATAAATACGATTCTAATAGCAATATAAATAATAGAAAATTTTCATTTGAATTTTCGATACTCATTGGCTATATTCTATCTTAAATGAATCATAAAAACAGGCTTCAAAAATTGATTTTTTCAATAGAAAAAGACAAGAATAAAATACTTAATGTATTCTAAAAAAGATTTTTAATTATTTATTTTGAACTTTAGGATGTGTTGTTAAATGTCAACAGTTTGTTGAAAAACATTGTCTTGCCTATTGTCTGATGGCATTAAGTTCCCGATGTGGTTTATTACGAGCTGTTGTTTACAATTGTCTTGCACGTTTTGAACAACATTTAATATCTCAAAGATTTTATTGTAAAGAACAATTATTAACAATGTTTACATTACTAAAACAAAGTATTAAAAAATCAAATTTAAAATTAGCACCTATCGTTGCGTTATTTCTGTCAAAATTAGTAGATTTATTTACTCATCCAGGTAAGACTTACGGCTTTGATAGAATTTTGAAAAATAATCTATTAAATATTTAGAATCAAAAATATATCGAACAATAACAAGATTCCTTCTTAAACAACCCTATATTGATCTTGTTCATATTCCACTATTTGGCGAACTTTTTCATAGTTCAACAGTTGAAGTTCGTTTGCGTTTTAGTTCTTCGCCTTTTCTTTTTTAATCTGTACCTCATGTTTTGATAGTATAAATATGAACGTGGATGGATATTAAATTTATTAAAACATGGTATAAAAGATACAATTGATTATACATTATGTACGAAAGCATATGTATTTAAAACATTAATGACATTTTATGATTGTTCATTATGTGATGATTCAATAAAAGTTTGTTTTCTTTAATTATTTCTTTAATTCATTTTTTATCGATCAACTATTTAGCTTGAAATTTTAAATGTCTTTTATTCAACAAGCAAAATTCAAGACATGTTAATGTCACTCTTATTTGATTATGGATTCCTTCTCTGGTTACAAGTGATTGTTAAAAATTGGTAAAAGAAAAATTAAAATTTATGAATAAATATTTGAAAGATTATGATTTATTTTATTAGTTCTAGTGAAAGTTTAATGTTACTATCGGGAATCATTCAAAATATTGGTTTACGTTTGACATCAATTGATAATCAAGTACAACTATTAGAATTTGATTGTCTTCTGTTGTTATTCGTACGTCGATTAAAAAATGAAGCGTATGTTTTACCTTTCTTTTTTTTTTCGTTTTTCATTGAGTTAATTCATTTCATAATCTAGAACAATTGCGTCATCAATTGCCGATAATGTGATATCTACTTTAATGAAATATCAAGAAAATTTGAAACCAAACCAAACTGCTCTTGATATCAAACAGATAAAACATATTGTTGATTGTTCAACAATAGCGAAAAATATTTCATTGTTATCTTGTTTTTGTTAACGAAAAATAAAAAGAATAAAATTGTTATCAGCATCGTACTGAAAAAAAAATAGTTTATTTATTATCTAACTAAATGAAAAATCCAGATTGACGAAACAGTGTGGCATTTAGTTTATGACACAAAATGAAAAAGCGTACTTTTATATTTCTATGTATTTTCGAAATACAGAAACTCGCGTTTGTCCTCATCTTTTAAAATCATTCATTGTTTTGATACTAGTCATACCCTCATGCAACGGTTACAGTATAGTGACAAAGTTAATTTAATCAGTAAAATTATATGACAAAAAAAATGGTTAATACTTTTAATTATAGGAAAGCATTTAGTTCTGCTTAATCAAGTCACATAACTTATGTGTGATTTACTTCTCCCATAGGAGAGTGTCACTGCAATTAAATATGTTCAACTTTTAAGAACCATGTGTTCGAATTAGAACGGATTTAATCATTTAATCTTTTAGTTCAATTCACAGCAATGTTCTTTGTAAAGTGAGACTTGAAATTATGAAAGTATTTGATTATTGACTCGTCAGCAGGAGACAAAGCGTCTTACGGTAAGATCTTTGCAGAGTTCTGTTAGGTCTGACAATATAAGTCTTAAAATAGCCAATAGTCCGTAAGATCTCGAAAGTTCATGTACGATCTACTAAAGATTGTTTGGTTTGAGAGCATCTCAAAATAATTTTGAAAATTGTGTAAACCAATCGCAGTTGTTTCGCGTTGATTCTGTTTTGTGTATTTCTACTGTCAATTTAATAATTTTGATAGACGAATCATACTGTTTTATATCCTTTATCCTATAGTTTGCTGAACAAAAAATTGAAATTATCGCTTTCAGATATAATTGATAATAAAAAGAACGATAGTCTTCACAGAGTCGTACACTCTCATCTTACTCTAACCTTACTTAAATTCTCAAGATTGATTGATTCATTGAAAGAATAAAATGCAAATACTGTACATACAGCGAGTGTCTTTTCTGTTGCGTTTGGATTTAATGAATTCTACGCGAAATAAATTCAAGCTATGTTTACTTTGAGTAAGTACGTTTTGCATTGATTCAGTTCTTTTTACTTGCACTTTTTTTGACGCCGCCGCATTTTTTCCTTAAACATTTGAATATATTCAGATGCTTGTTAACATTCATTGTTTTTTTACGTTACACCAACACAGAAAAAAACGATTCTGATTACTTGCCATGTCTAATACTCCACAAATTAAGTATAAAGAACATTGGAAAAAAGTAGAAATCGATTTGCACAGAGTGCGTAACATTTTCTTCTTACATATACTATCAGTATAGATATTTGTTTTCTTCAAAACTTAAGCAGAACAAACAAGAAGGATGGGGATTCCACATTAGCGGTGGTATTGACAAATATAATTTCCCATTGGAAGCAATTTCAGTTAGCAAGATAGATCAAAATGGACTCGCACAGAGAGACCAACGATTAAAGTAAGTAAATTTACTTCCTGTCAAAAGTGTTTTACAATAAATTTCATGTACTAGATCAAATGACATAATATTAAAGGCGAATAAAATTAATTTTACAAATATTAAGCAAAAAAAAGCCCTTAAAATATTGAGAAAGTCTGGACCCAGTGTTGGATTGGTGAGTAGCACAAGATAAATGTTTCAGATCTTAAAGTGAAGTTACTCTATGCTATCATTATATGCAGTTAATATGTCGTCTTGAACCACGGATTATCGAAGACATCCAACTAGTGCATAGTGGAAAGCTTGGCATTACTATTGTAGGTGGAATTGGAGATGAATATTTTCCAACGTAAATACTGCTCGCAACATTATTTCTTCTCAGTTAATATCTGTTTCCGTTTTAATATCGAAGCGATCACGGTATATTTATAGTGGATAAAGATAAAACTCAATTACAAACGAATCAACAATTGCATTTAGGTGATCGACTATTAAACATTTCATCAGGGGTAACATAAAGATATTTCTTTTGTTCTATATGTTTCTCTCTCTCTGCTATATATTTTTACTAGGATAATATCCGTGACTTACGATTCGTGACGCATGCAGAAGCAAAGCAAATAATAGAATCAGCATGTGAACAAAGTAATAGAATCACATTACGTGTCGGACGTGCAAGATATGTGGAGTAAGTTCCAATAGATTGATTTCAGTTGGAAGACTATGATACCGCAGGGTGTTTATCTTACTATTCTTTCTGGCGAAGTTGAGATAGCTGTTTTTACTGAAAATGATGATGACGGTGATCGTCGTTTGTATGTAGTTAGAAGCATACTGAGAGAAATCATTACGAATATGTATGTACTGAGACTGAAATGACTGGACAGATACTTTCGATTTGCTATTGTTTTTGGTACATCATTCATGACATATAATAGTGGTAAACTAATAGAATCAACTTGTGTATAATCATCTAAGCTTCTCATAAGTGTTCAAAACCTGCTGCAATCCTCGCTCGTAGTATAACGAATGCAGTTACTCTTTTTTATGTATATATAAAGGCAACACAAGAAAGCCTGATTCTACGAATGTGATATGTTTCTTGTTTATTGCATAGAAAAATCATTATTTGATGATTTATTTTTAGAACTCCAATAACTCCGCCAGTGGTACAGGTGAGACCTCTTCCTGTAGATTCTTTCGCGTTTTACTAAAAATATCGGTAATCAACATTATTTTCCTTTTTCAATTTTATTTTAGTTATATGTTTAATTATGTTCATCTTATATTTGAATCAGTTTGCATATCTAATTTTAGCCAAACTCTCCTCTTCGAACTGCTTATATGGACAAATTAGCTACATATCAAGGTCAACAAGGAACAGAAGCAGTATTCAATGGAAATAGAAGACCAAGAGTAAGTCGGGAGTCTTTAGAAATGCAGTAGCTGGAAAACGACAATACGTGCATCTATTATATTTAGTTGCAACTTGATTGAATTGTCATATCAACCATGCTGATACAACTTGAAAATTTTCAGTCAAGAAGAAGACAATGACCGAGATTTCAGCAATTAACTGAATATAAATCCTATACTCACGTTTCCTTTTATATGATTTTAAACTTAATAAACAGGAGCGATTCACATGTACTGATTCTTCCTATGCTATGGACATTCATAATGATTTTCTAGGGCGATTGCGAATAGTTGGAAATGTATAATCCTTTGATTGCTTTTATTATTATTAAATTCGTTTTTTCTAAGTGTTCCAATCCATGTGTATCAACCCAAAATAATATGAATCAGAAAGATTGACAGTCAAATTCGTTAACTACGTTTTGCAGAGACGCTAGCTTGTTCATTTGATGAAGTAGGGGCCACGACAAAGAAATTACACGTAAGATTTTGTATGACAATATAACATCTTACAAAAACCATAATATCAGAAATCATATAATAAAGGATATGGTGACCTTCCTAACGGAACAGTCTTCGTCATTGTAATCTTGACATAATTTACATAGTGTCATCTTACCAAGAAGCGTAGAATTACAAGAATATTACAAAAAAAAACAGTAATATATTTTCGTGAGGCAACCACTTCTGTTTTTTTCATATTTTACAATGCCTTGCAAAAGTAAAAGTAATTATAATCTTATATGATCTCAATATTCGACTATGCAATCGACAGATATAAACTGTTTCTGTTATAACCAGTGCCGTACAATTATTGATCGATTTTAGAGTCAAATCTTATATTACTCCATCATAATTTTTCAAATTTTCTCATAATTTCGTATATTTGGCAGTGTTCTACTGTCAGCGTGCATCTGCTAGTTCTATTAGGAAAACCATTATACTTTCTGTTGTCTATGTATTTTCGTTTATAAAAATAGCAAAGCCTAACTTAACAAATTAAATATCTATTCCGTTGATTTCAATCGATAGTGAGCATAAATTAGGAGAAAAATAATTTTGCTTACATTTTACTTGTATTAGATCTACCGTTAGTATAATCTAAAAGTAACAGAAAAGAAAAGAACCACTACTTCTATTTTATTGAATTGATCAAATTATCTCCATGCTGCCGTTTAACGGATAAAATCGTATAGTCAGAAGATGCATCGGTTTTCCAAGTTACAATGTTTCAATTAGAACGTATTTAATATTCTGGTATGCAATGTGATAAGTATTTATATAATGCAATTAACAGCTGGTTAAACAGAAGTTTCACTGACACTGGAATACTTGTTCTATCGAATATTATTAGCCGAATATTAGATGGTTATATTAAATTTCAGAGAATAGCTCTTCATGCAGCTTAACAAAATCTTACTTAACTTAATTGTAACTATGACTTTTATATTATTCAAAAGCTAGCCACGATTGCATTCATACTATTTTGTTACACTAAAAAAATACCTGCAGTATCCAAAAGAATACGCAAGCATGTACATCGAACCATGCTTTTTCGAGAGAAACAAACAAATGTCATCATCGTCTAATACTATCTATCTGATAGTTCAAAGTAATTCTCCATCTACGCGTTATGTATATAATCGTATTTCTTTTAGATCAATACGTAATCAGTTGTTAATAATATTATTTTTTCTACTCGTTAGATCGCCAGTTTCTTTGTTTCTATATTCGAAGGTCAACATTGAGCGAACACTTTGTTCGAATACCAATTATTTTTATAGAACGTGTTATTCATAATGTACTACTGATTGTATTTTATAGTTGTTTCAAATATATCGTAGAAGTTGAATATTGTATCAAATTTTCTCTATTTCAGACTTGAATACTATCTTTGATATGATCTTTTAGCGTATTTCATTGTGTAATACTAGTCAAGTTTTCTTTGAAGCTCATTGGCAAATGTAACTGAGTGAAACTGGTGTACGAACTTTATGTTCAAGGATTAAATGAAACAACAGTATAAAAAAAACGATTGCAACTTCATCAATGTTGCGACTCCCTCTCCTTAATTGAATATTCCCAGGCTTTCCTTTTCTATTATTGTTTTCATCAAACATTTTGTTTTGCATTACAGAATCGATATTACAATGAGACAAAAAATCGTTCGTCAAACACTTATAATTGAATATCAAATTTTCATTTACTAATTGTAAAAATAAGAATGCAGATACAATTTTCAATAACTTCTTATGCCTAGTCTATTCACCTCATTTTTCATTAGAATATTTATTTGTTGAAAAGTATTGTTAATTACTTCCAAATTCATTCTTTACTTTCATAGTGATAGAATTTTAGTAAGTAGAAAAAATATGATTGCGTCTAATTAAAATTTTGTGGCATGGTGAAATTCTTACTTCTCTGTTTACTTTCGCACTTTATACATCAAAATTTTGCTTGATACTAATCAGATTCAAATTGTCGTTTAAGTTTATCATTTATGAACAAATGAATAGAAAATCAAAATTACAACACGTGCATTAGTCAAGTATAAAGCAGTCATCGTTACAGTTGCTACCTTTTCTAATCATCGATAGGAATCGAAATGATTAAAGTTTTCAATGTATACATAATTGAATCGATCATCCATGAAAGCAAAACACCATAAAATCGTCACTTTCATTAACTGATTTTTCGGTACACAGAGTAATTATAGGTGTAACCCACATGTTTCCTACATAGAATCAATAAAATATATAAGAACGTCAATCATTCGATTCTATTTCAACGTCAAAACAGCAACATCGAACATATTATCATGCGTCATATATCGTTTCAGTATAAAACGATAATTAGACGACACATACTGTAATCAAAGCATTGACTAATCTTCATGTTGAATTCATATTGACTAGAATAAACAGAATATCAGGAGTTAAACGTTTTTCAAGTAAAAACTGCACCAGAGATAAATTCAAACATAGTTCATAAAGAAAAAGGAAAAAAAATACGATTTAAAATATTTTTTCTAGCAACTCAAGGGCTTTCGAATATATATATATATATATACAATATCAAGCTTGTATAGTTCTTAAATGAATGATAAACTATCAAAAAACATTCTACTTTCATTTAGGATACATAGCTTCATGTGAATAATCACTTGTTACAATCAAGTAAACAGAATGCACAATATTTATTAAAAACAAAGAGAGTTTGAAAGCTAATTAAAATAAATGTGGAAACTTCGGATTTCATCCGAACGTTATGTGTACTGCAAAAAGTGCATGGGATGTATGAGTCATTCTAGAATGTCTGAACACCAAAATTATCATGAGAAACTAGGCAATTTGATTTCTGGATGCAGTTTTTGTGCATTTTGAGACGTTTTTCANCAACCATTTCTTGAGGGATTCTTCTCATCTTCGAACTCGACCGAAATATTCATGAGATTGAACCGTGGGGAAAATTTCATCACGGGCTGACTCTCCTTTCGCAAGTTATCGTGCCTACGGCCGGCCGGACACACTGACCGATTCTAGAGTGTACTCACTTTTTGAGTACACAAAAATCTGCAAAAATAATTTATTTGCAAGAAAACATTTTTCTCATAATCTTCTAAAGTTTAGGACAGCAATATTTTACGATTTGAGAAAATTTCATTACCCTAATTTATATTATTGTCAATTAAACATTGAAGTTTTTAATAAAATTAGTGAAAATATTTTTATATTAAAAGTATCATTGATAATAAAAGAAAACAATATAGGTACTTCAATCAAATAATTATGTTGTTAGTCTGCTTTATTCAAGGAAAATATTATTATTGAGAGTTTTGAAAAAGAAAATATAAATAATATTACTCAATGTTCAACGAAACTGAATAGACAAAAGTGCTCAAAGAAAAATATTTTGATTTCGTCTTGCTATAAAGAATTTGCGTCGATTCCTATTCGAGTATATGCTTGCCAAACGAACAATTGATGCAAGCTTGAATTCGTGCAACAATGTTGAATATCTTATTACAAGTAGTTCTTTTCATGAATATATATATATTCAAATATCGTTCATGATAAAATAAAAATTTTGTTTAAAATTTAACCCTGAAATAACTGTTCAATATTTCTTTTGCATATATAACATATTAAATTACTATATCTCTAATCTTTTGTTATTCAATCAATTATATACAAAATCCGTTGGCTTAAAATATCGATTACATGAAAATATTCTCCTATAAATTTCGTTCAATTTTTCTTTTACACTTGTTTGAATATGTTTCATTCAATAATTCTACTTCTTGTCAATTTAATCATTATTAAACAAATTTCAAGTGAAAATCTAGGTGGAATATATGTTATTGATGCATGTGAATGCAATTCTCCAACGGAAAATTGTGACTTAAATGGACCATTTATATTCGACCAACAACGTTCAACTCTTGCTATTCGGTATGGCACAGTACAAGTTGGCGTTGGTGCATTAGAAAATAATCATCTTGATTTATATTTAAATCATAATCCATGCAAAGGTTTATGGAATGGGAAAAGTCGAGTTGCAAACATAACATGCCAACGAAAAGGAGGTGTTATCTGTTCAACTAAATTTCGTTGTGCATCAGGTGCATGTCGTGAAGCAAAATCATTGACAGCTACATCATCAGCAATAAAAACAACTATATCTGTATTATCAATTATTAATAGTTTATTTATTTTATTATATTAGACAAAACAAAGAAAACAGTAAAAAAAAAGTTACAGATAATATAAACTTTTCTTTTCTTTTCTTTTCTTTCTTTTGTGTTGAAACTTCAATTAAGATCAACTCACTAAAGGAAAATATTGACTTTTTCGAACAGAAACTAGACTAATATTTTATTCGAACTATTAGTAAACGATGTCAAAATTGTATTTGAAAATTATTTCTATGATGAAATTTAAAATAAAATTGCAATTAAAAAAGAACGCTTTAAATATATTGCAAAAACAAAAAATAAATAAAATAAATAAGTAAAATTGTCGAAATACTTCTTATTATATATGTATCACACAGCATAAATATCGATTAATGAAAATTAAAAACAAGCGTCTATCGTGTCATAAGTACTGTTCGAAAGATAATAAAACAGTCTATTGGAAATAGTTATATGCAAAAAAAAACAACTGTTGTTCAGTAAGAAGAAAAAATAATTATTGACAGACGAAAGAAAATTAGAATTATTATCGTTCTATTATTTAATCAAAATCTACATTAGGTTCACCAGGTCGACAATATTTATTACGTTGATTTATATGTTGAGAGTATGAACCTACAACAAAAACCAAGCAAATAAATTGCATAGATTTAAAAAATATTAAACTTAAAAAAAATCATTCGCTGCCATTAATAATGACATCGACTCATTTACACATCGTAGTAATCTGATTCAAATACGTTTTTCACACACTGTTTGTATCAATCGTGTTATTTGACTATCCTCATTCTACTAAACGGAAGTTGTAATGGAGTCACCGGTATTGTATCCCGCTCAAATAAATATGAATATTATAAACTGTTCTAATCTCGATAATTTAAATATTTACAGTTGATGATGTATCATATAGTTTGATTCTATCTCATGTTTTTTTTTTTCTTTAAAATAAAACTTACCCGAATGACTAAATCGTTTTCCACATTTATCACATGTATAAGGCTTTTCACCTGAATGCAATCGTTCATGTTCTTTCAGATGATGTTTATGTTTAAATCTCTTGGAACATATTGAACATTGATAGGGACGTTTGTCTTCATCTGAGTGATGCCTACGTCGAGCAGATGAATTCCCAGCAGTACCACTAGCTGTATCATTTAATCGATATTGTCTGAAATTCTTCAAAGAATTTCCTATGGTTCGATAAGCTGAAGGTTGATTTCTTGAATAGAAAAATGACGGCGATGATGAAGATGATGGTGACATTGAACATTCATCTTGTTCATCAAATACTTCACTATTATTATCCGAAAAAATACCTAGAAACAACAATCATTTATGGTTTGTCTTTATTTTGATGTTCAATACTAAGTTGTTTCCGTTTTTTCTTCTTTGTTTTAGTTCTAGCAAAAATACATAGAAAATTTCATCAGACATTCAAGATGTTTTGTGTAAGTAATTGGCAAAGAGCAATGTAAAAGTAAGTGAGTAAGTAAGAAAAAAAAACAGAATCGAATTCCAACAGACAAAAACACAAAGATCATTCGAATGAGTTTTAAACGCTTGGTTGAACATATTTTTGTTTTAAGAATAATACATTCAAAAGAAAAAATAATAATACAATGAGAGAAAATGCAGAACCAAACAAAAAAACAAAGTTTTCTTAATAATTATTATTATTTATAGTGTCATTCTCTGCAAATGCAGAAATATTATTTGAATCATCATCATCATTTTCACCGGCGTTTCCAATAAGCATTTTTTCATTAGGAAGAGATGATGCTGTTGATGTTTCTAATGTACTGCCTGAAATTGGAAAAAAATCAATCCGTCAATTTATTGGATTTGGTGAAAAAATATCATTGTGTAGAACAATAAGAAATAGTTTACAGAAGAAAACCAAAGTCACAACACAATATATATATATATATATATATATACTTTCACTCATTGGCCAGATAGTATCAATATGAAAACAGAGAAAACTAACACCAAAACTATACAAAGGCAGACAAAATATAAATATAAAAGCACTAGATATTTCTTCTGAACGAAATCCATATAGTTGTTTTTGTGAATCAAGCATCAGAGCAGCTGCTAATCGTTTTCTCATATTTTAAAAATAGGTGATTTTATACAATTTTACTATAAGAATCATATGTATTCTAAAGCAAACGTCATAGAGGAAGTTTTTTTTATTATTTCTTGGTCAGTCAAAGAGCGAGCGTTTTCGGTTTCTTTACATGCAACATCTACTCAACTACAACAGCTAATAAGAAGATATAGATAAAGCATAGGCAAAGCGAGCGAATGTGATTTAAATTTACCTTCGTTTCTTAATAAAATTTGAGCAGGTGAAGCTAAGAAAAGATAAAATAATAATTTAATTAAATCTAAAAGGTTAATTACCATCACTTTGTTGTGAATCCATTGATTCTTCACTTTGTAAATGTGTATCATTTCCATTAACAATATGTGAAGATGATGACACTTGTGGTGGTGGTGGTGGTGGTGGCGACGACGACGATGATGATGGTTTTTCATTAAGTAGTGGTCGATGTTTAACTTCAGATGTTTTTATTTGTTCAAATTGATATTGTTGTCTTTCTTGTAATAATTGCTGTCGTTGAAGTTCAATCATTTCACGTTCACGATCCATAATAGATTCAAGTTCTTCGAAGTGTTTTAATTTTATTTCAAGTTTTTTTATTTGCATTTCAACTACTTGAGCAACTAATGTTTTTATTTTACGTTCTTCAATTGAAGCTAAATACTAAAATTAAAATTAAAAAATTTGTTAATTATACTTCAGAACTGAATTCAACATTTAGCCGAAGATTTTACAACTGAATCGAATTGTTCTTTACAAGACGATGTTCATTCAAAAGTGAAGAATTTACCCTGATTTCGATTGATGACTCGAAATAAAAACAAACGAAAAATTTCTAGTTTTGAGAAAACAATGTTGACATTAATTAATGACGTTCGTTCATGTCGGTATTGCTTTCGGAATTTTTAACTGTTGCAATAGCATATTCATCTATGATAAAATAACTATCGAAAACTCAAAATGCAAGAATCTTAGTAGATCTCATAACCACTAGAATGCTTCTAAAATAATCGTATTTGACAACAGTAACAAAGTCGATCGTTCTTTAATATCTGTGCAAAGGAAGATCCATGTGTGTTGTAAATTTTTAGAATACTTTAGCGATTCTAAAACACATCTAGGATGTGCACTTTCCTATGTGGAAGTCGAGTTAATTTTTCATGGGCTTGGTTTCACATAATTCTACTGAAGAGAATACTTAAACACGAGTCGAGCGTACTACGTAGATATAATTTCAAAAAATTCGAAACTCTCTGAATTCAAACAAATATATCCAACTAACATTCTGCCAATGAAATGAATTTGCTTTCAAAAAACTTAATGATATAGAAATAACCAATGAAACTTGTTTATTTTTCTTTTCTAAGCAATTTACTTTGGCCTTAACAGAAGCAGCTGCTAATGCACTTGCTGCTGCTGCTTGAATATCTCGGTCATTGATTTCTGCTGCTAACAATTTTCTTGGATCTTGTTGATCTTGTTGCGTCGTCGGTTTTGGAGCAGTAGATAATGACGCCGATGATACTAGTGATTCATCATTATTTGTTTGCATTTCTTCATTTTCATGATGTGCAATTGGTTTTGATTGATCTTCATTAGTCTAATAGAATAACAAAAAATATAATTTAACATAATAAACCAAAAACGAAGTTTCAGACATCTTTTTCATCAATAATATCGATTTGTTCTTGTTTTATTTGTGATGGTTCTTCATTATTATTACTATTTAATTCGGTTGGTTTCGAAGTTGAATCTTCATCAATTTCTTTATTTGCTTCAGTTGTTACTGTTGGTGCTGCATCGTCATGCATTTTAGAAAATTCCTCTAGAGCAGCTTTAGCTGCAGCACTAGCAACACGTGGATCAACAACGGATGCAAGAAAAGCAACAGTTGACATAACTGGATTACCACTTTGACTAAATGGTATTGTTGGATATGCAAGTGAACCAGTTGCAGAACCATTGCCTTCTAAATATGGATCTTCGATTGGTAATTGAAGAAATTTCAATATACATTCATCTTGTGTACGTGTACCAACATGTTCACAAACTTTATTCCAGTCATCTTTATACATTTCAAGGCCTTAACATAAATTTTAAATTATATGACACGTAAAAATTAAAAAAAGCAAATTTACCTTCGAGTAATAGCAGAATTTCTTGGTCTGACCAATCTTTAGTTTTAGTTTTGGTATTCTATATACAACGATATTTAACAATATTATACAACAAATAGTAATAGTACAGCCAATGATTGCAAAAAAAGGATTCGTACAATTTATTTTTGTCTGAGTTTTGATAATTATGCATCTCTGTTATATTACCTCCAAAATATTCTGTTCGTCTATCAACATGAGCATTCGTTTCAAAAAATTAAATTATAGTTATGAATGCGATTTTTTTTCTTTATTTTAACAGCACTTGAATGTATCTAGTTCTTACTTTTTTTTACGGAAAGCTAATGTAATTCAGAAAAAACTCGGCACGACTTCGTGTTCAAAAGATTTGCTTATCAAAAAGTGAAATTTTAATTAAATGAATACCATATTCTAAATCAAACGACGCTTTTGCATTCAATAGCTGCAACATCATATGTCTAATATATAGATCGCAAAGAAGTCTCTCTGAGATAGCTCATGAAACAGTAGTCAGTTGTTTAAACAGAAATTAACTTACGATAAAATAGCTATAACGACTGTATAAATGCATCTCATGATAAGATACAACTCAAAGATCTCTCACTGTCTGCAACTATAACAAAGAAGAAAAATGATTTCTTACTAAATTAAGTTTTTTATTATATTGATCAGTTCTTAAACCCAATGTACTTTCAACATCACGTTCTTCTCGTTTAGCTTCTTGTTTTAAATCTGCAATTTGTTTCGATGCTACACTCTATATAAAAAATTTTTAAAAAATATTTAAATTTCTAAAGAAAAATGAAAATATAGCTAATGAATTACTTCTCTCTGTATTCCTTTATTTGCTAAACCTGCTGGTGTATCTCCTAAAAGAGTAAAATGTGATGTTGAATGTGGTCCCATAGGTGTTGGACGTAGATCAGCGTCAACTTGATAGTTAATCAAACCCCATTGTTCAAGAAATGCATGTATACGCATAATAGCACATACATCACCAGCTAAATTTCTTCGGCATGCTGTTACTGATAAATATTCATTTGGATTTAAACGATATGTATCAATCATAAAATTTCTATAAGCCAAATAACTGAAAATAAATTATATTTGAAATTAAAAAAATTAATTTCAAGTAAACGAAAATCAATCTATTACATTTCAGGTGTTTTTGAACGATTTTTGGAATTAAAAAACTCGATCAAAGCTCGCTTTTCAATTGAATTTATGGAATTATAGTCAAACCATGCTGAATAACTTGGAATAATTATATGATGTGTTTGTTCACATGCTTCAGGTTCATGAAATTTTTTTATTTGATATGAATCACCTTGAATTTGTTGATCATCGATATTATCATCACCTTCATCGTTTAAATCAGTCAAGACTGTGCCACGTGGCAATTGGCAATCAGTAATTTTTTGACCAGTTAATGCTACAAAAACAAAACTATTAAAAATAATTTACATAGATAATAAATCAATAATTACGTGTTCTTGATGATGATTGATCATCAAATATAGATTGGGATAAAGAATTTTCTCCATCTTTTGATAAATCATTATCATCGAAATCATTACGAACTTTTTTCGATCTAGAAAAATCTTTTTTTCTATAGACAAGATAACGTCTGAAGTGAAACTTTACTTTCGTTGTTTCGATATTGTTGATCGTTTTTTTGTACTATTTGATGTTACAGGTGTTGATGGGTTACGATCCGGTACAAGCTAAAATGATCCAATATGATTTTAATATTTTTATTCGCTTTTTTTACCATAATTTTTTATAGCTCGACAATTTGTATTACTAGTGGTGCCCCTATCGTCGTGTCTTTTTGATTCTCTTTGTAGATGTGCGTATGTGCGAGGCTGAGGGAAAAGGAGAAAAGAAAAATATTCAGAGCGAGAGCAGCAAATGTGAATTGTTTTATCCGTCCGTTCTCGCGATAGAGAAGAAGCAAAAAAACAAGAGAACGACATATTTGGCGATACGTCACCATTGTTAGTTGTAAGTGAACGGTGTGTTTCGTTCTTTTTTGCCTTTTCTCATATGTCAAATAGAGAAAAGAAAGAAAAAAGAAACATGGCATAAGGAAAAAATTCAAATGTCAGTTGAGTATATTGTCAGTAAAATCTCCCAGTACACATGATGTTTTCTTTTTCTCATCTATCGTACAATTCTTTGTCTTTCATATGGAACTTATGATTTCAAGTACAGAACAGATTTTCTTTTGAAAAGTTCAGTTTCTATCAAATTTTCATAATCGTTTTTATTGATGGAACAACGAAGAAAACCAAATTTGATTAACTTTAATATAATAAATGTTTAATCGTTTTATTCTAATTCTTGAGAATCCGCATTCAATATTGTAATTAATAATGACATTATCGCTTTTTTATTCCTATAATTTTTTCATCTTAAGCAGGATAATTCCATTATGCCATGATGAGAATCATTATATGATGCACTGTTTTTTTGTTTACAAGAATTTACGAAATTATCTCATTCATATAATTCTAGTAAAAAGAGTCTCTTGGAACCTGCAATAATCGAACAATAAGTTGAACGATCTATCTTTTCTTTTATTGGATTATATCGAAATAATTTAATATTTTGATACAGATTTCTTGAGAGCAGTATCAAGATTATTCAATAAAAATATTAATTTGACTTAAAACAGATGAAGAAACATGTTGTTTATGACAACATATAATATGTAAATTCAGCTTTTGCATTGAAAGTATTTCCGGATAAGTAAAATCTATTTAAGTCATTATATGTATCGAAAATAATGATCATAGTGGTTGTTACTAATGTAAATTGAAAGTTTTCTTTTAATTGATCGGATATTACGAGAGTATCATTTTGATTATTCATCAGCATTTAATTAATTGTATGTTTTGAAGCATTCTCCTACATTCGTTTTTCAGCATAGGATTGCTGCTGCTCGATTGTTGACATTGAAGAATATTTTCTTTTCTAAACATAAGATGCTCGATACAAACATATTCATTAACTCTGCTGTATCTGTGAACAGTCCACAATGGCTTGTTCGCTTTGGATGGAGATCCGCAAGGTTCTTCTATAAGCATGAACGAGTTCTCACAAATATGTCCTTGTTATAAACTGTTTTTATTTTCTTTAGAGATGCCGCGTCGGTCTGTTTGCATACGTATATAAAATTTTTAAGAAAAGAAACGATCAAAATCTGGTTCAGTTTCAATAGAATTGTCAATCGATGAAAAGATTTGTAGAGCGTTCTAGTATTACTGAAGATACAAATAATTGATGCTACATCGAAAATAGAAATAGATCTTTCTACACTTTACTTTGAATAGGACTCTTAGTTCACAGCTACCAGAACATTCAAATAGAACAGTATAATACAGAAGTTAAATCAACATGAAATTCTACAAGTCGTGAGTTAAATATTTTATTTAAAAAAGGTCAATTGTTTTATTAGAAATCAATGAATCAAGAAACAGAACGAACTATACGGGAGTAGATTTAGTTTTAGTTGGATGTAATAAGAGCAGAACGTTGATGCTTTGAATTATATTTACTGACGATTATCATTCTCTACTACTGCAAATCAAACAGCATGTCTAAACAAAATATAAGATAATTCAAACAGTTACAAGGGTCAATGGTCTATCATATTGATTTGATTTCTTTATTCTACATCAGATAGTTAACAGTTGATTGCAAGAAATTAAATGGATACACGATATCAATAACAAGCAGAATAAATTTTGGTTGTAAAAGACATTGAACATAAACTAGTAACTATAATTTAGCAAACGCAGTCCTTTGCAATATCTGCTGATAGAGTACAATATAATCCAACAAAAATGATTAATTAACTCTCGTTTGAGTATTCTCTGTTTATTTTTTGTGGGTATGATTTTAGCATTTCAAATGATGAAAAAATGATGCTATTGGCAAATAAACTTGATCAATTCTAAATGCCCTATGGGAGCAATACGGTATTTGTTAAATATCACGTAAAAAGAAACAAGTAAAAAAACAGATACTACAGAATAAGAGTATAAGAAGTAAAATTTTGAAAAGCAAGAAGGTTAAATCATCAACAAGGAAATTCAATTAACAGCAGATAGTTATTGAATTGGTTTACAGGATTTACTGTCCGCGGATTTACTGTCCATTGATTGTTTTTCTTAGAAAATTGTTTTTTCTCTACAAAAAGTATAATTTTTGCTGCTGAGGATTTACTGTCCATTGATTGAATAACTTTTCTTTTCCAATTAGCGTTT